GTCGTCCGTTCGATGTTTCATACGTTCCGAAGGTGTTCATGAACAACGTTCGCATTATATACCCATATAAAATAAAATCTGTATGTATACGTTCGTGAACGGATGATTCAAAAATAGACCCTCAGTTTGCTCAGATAGTTCGTATACAAAAAGAAAACAGCCTCGCATTATTCGTTTTAGAAAGTATGACATGGCTCAAGACTTGAACGATTATAAAAGAGAAATGGTGACCCTTCATTTTCCATTTCGTAATGAAGATGAAGAATTACTTGCTGAAACTAAATTCATTGATATATATATACAGATACAATATATATATAATATCTATGTATAACAGTCAAAAATAAATTATTTTAGGTCGTCAGAAAGAATTTGTAGCTTCGTTGGACATTGAAAAAACTATTGAGATTTGCAAGAATTTATGTCGTGAAGAAGAATTTCTCGTCGACGATGAAGCACATGAGGTAGACATGTTTCCAGAGCCTAATCCATTTGAGTTGTTGTACGATGATCATAATGCAAACGTAAAAAATGACATTCGTTTGGCTGTATTGAACAAACTTGGTACTATTGCAAAGAAACGAGAAAATTTAATGAATAATGATGACTTTTATGAGCTTATGCGTAAAGCAAAGAGGAATTTTGATGGAGGAAATTTGTAACCTTTTGTCTTTAAACCGTGTTTCATTCCAAATATTTTTCATTGACCCTGCTGGGTGTGGAAAAACGTTTGTTATAAAATTACTGATGGAAATTTATAACCGTTATACGGATAACGATGGCTACTGTAATGCATACATAACTTGTGCTTCAACGGGTAAAGCTGCAATTGCGATAAATGGAACCACAGAGTATACAACATTTAAATTATCTAAATCAATATCTAAATTGCTGCCATTGTCTTTTGAAATTACATATCAATATCGCGCGTTGTTTAAATATGTTAATGTCATCATTATCGATGAAATAAGCATGATAGGCGCTGAATGGTTAATCAAAATAAACGAACGTCTCCAGCAAATCACAGGCAATTTCAAGGAAAATTTTGAAGGATTGGATGTTATTTTCATCGGTGACTTGCGTCAGCTACCACCAGTTCGAGCGACTTCAATCTATCTGCCACAAAAAAAGAAATATTTTTGGGCCAATTTTATGGAGGGGCCTCCAATTTTATGGGTTAGACCAAGTCATGAAACAGGCTAATGTACCATTCGCATCTATCCTGACTAAAATTGGCAATGGTGATAGGCTTGATGATCATGAACTGAGTCTAATACAATCACGATTTTTTCCTAAAGCTGAAATTGATATACTTTGTCCAAGTGGAATTCGCATATTTATCACGAATCACTCAGTTAATGAGTACAACCACCAGGTTTTAAGCGCTGCCAGAGAAAAGGTTGTTTCAACAACAAAATATATTTACTTTGGTTGTTCATTTACAAATCAGGAAGCTCTCTTGCGACAAAAAGTCCATAATATGTCACTTATTGATACAGGTGGGTTACCATATGAAACAATATTTGTCAAAAATATCCATTATTTGATAACAATCAATATTGACGTATCTGACGGTTTGGCAAATGGTGCGGTGGGGAAGCTAGTCCATCTTAAACGAAATGAAGCAAGGGAAGTCATTGTTATGTGGCTCGATTTTCCTTGTTGTCCGAATATCGGAAATAAAATTAGGAGAATAGTTACTGGTCGTATGACCGCAAATAACATTAACCGAATAGCAGTTCCAATCTCTAGGAGATCATCTATCATAAATTTGAATCAAAGCAAAACCATCTGTGTTAAGTGTTCTCACTTGCCTGTAATCTGTGCTTGTGCAACGACTATACATAAATCGCAAGGAAACACGTATACTGAAGTGGTGTATGATTACGTCAAAAGATACGCGCAATTGTTGCTATATGTAGCTTTGTCATGAGTTACTGATCTTCGCGGACTGTTCATTATTACTAAAAATGATGAATATTTGACGTTTTATCATGGAAGGAAAACATCTGATTCCACGAGGCGCCTTCGTGATGAATTTACAAGACTTTCCACTCGCTCTTTAGTCACAATTAACAAACAAATAAATGATTTCAAAGTCTCCAAGCTCATTTATTAGACATCTTTGATACAGTCCTTCAAAATTCAAAAATGTTAATTTTTTTCGAGACTTGGGAACATGAAAACGAGAATACTATAGTCCCTAATTTTAATTATATCATTAAATATAAGCGACCAAACGTCAGATTTGCAGGAGTAGCTATTTATCATCGTAATAACGATATAGTTAATATTGTCACTCCATCGATTGAGATGACAATAGGACAATCACAGTTATTTAGTTCAAAAAGTACTCCAGTTGGTGATTTTTGTGTTGCTGAGTGTTTAAGACAAAAGGAAGAAATCATCATCATTGTAGCAGTTTATATTTCACCAAATCAAAAAATAGATGATATCGTTTCTTTTTTAAATAGATCGCTGCTTACTTTTACTACTGAAGGTGCAGCATTACTCGGCAGGGGAGAGAAGATAAACTGCCCATGATTCTGAGCGGAGACTTTAATGTTAATTTCGCATAAGATAGATCAGAACCATTAAACATTTTTGTGTGAAAATCTCAATTTTCAGAAACCAAAACAGTTGCAGTTTTCAGTCGATATATTAATAACATTCAATCGAAAACTTACATCACTTATTTCAGTTACCATAAGCCTATTATATCTTATTTCACATAGAAAAATAAAATAAATTAATTTTAAATGAAAATAAAAAGTTTACGTGTATTTTTTAAAATTTTATCCCAATATATACCTAATATAATTTCAGTTGAATGAAGTTTCACTCCATCCGCGCGTACTCGTAACACGCGCTTTTTAAAGTAAGCTTAAAACAATAATGAACGAATTTATAGAGAGCGAATTTGCTAAGTTTTTTCGAACACATCAACAGCCAGTACAAATTTATGTGAAAATGCTTGAAAAATTAGTAATATAATTTAGATAGTGTTACAAAGTTGGGGCGTATAAGGGGAATATTCGCTTCTAAAATAAAAAATATTTCTAGGCTACTGTATATTCCAACAACAAATTTGGGTCATTTAAAAATAACTAATTTTATAAATTCGGTGTCTAGTTCTTTATATAATAAACAGAAGACTACAAGTAATTTCGTATAATTGTCTCCTATGACGCATCATTGTTATAAATACTCACTAAAATAAGCGAGCGATTAAACAAGAATATTTAAAATAGCGATATATAGTTAAAAAAAAACGTTCTGATCCTTTGAAGTAGAAAGTTTTAAATTTTCTTTTAGCAATTTAAAGACTTTAATTATTTTTTATCTGAATTATAAACTTATGACAAAATAAAAAACTACGTCATTACTATGCATATTTTTTTATAACTCGTATAAATTTCGATACAATTAAAATTTTGCTGTAAGTTTTTAGCTTTGATGCAAAGTAAAATTATTTACTTTTGTTGTTCAATACATTTATCATATCAAATCTAATTTGACAATAAATATTTTAAAAATATTAAAAATGAATGATTTTAATTGTTTGTATGGAAAAAGCTGGTTAAGCTAGTTTTTATTTGAATAAGGGATTTTTTTTCAATTTTTAAGGGTAATATCTTCAACTAAATACGAATTGTAATCATTTAAAAAAAGTAGGTCAAGTGAAGGTTGGGAAAATAAATTGTAGCCACAAAAAAAACCACATGATAAAATAATATTAACAAAAATAAGAAATTTCTTCTTACGATGGGAGTCTACAATGGTGGGAACCTTGATATTTAATGAAATTATTAAATCTAAACGAGATAAAAATCAAATAATTTCAAAATTTTTTTCTAACTAAAAAAAAATGCAAAATATTATTCACCACAGGCGGATTCGAACCTCGTTGTATTATATATATAAGGGATTACAAAAACAAGTAGTTATTTGTTTTTTTATGATGATATTCACAGATATATAGCCTTTATTATCAATGGTAATAAGACACCCGAGTAGCATTATTTTGGTTCACGATCGGTTCAAGCGACCCACGAGTGCTGGGAAAGTTCAGCGTTTAATAAGTTACTCAGTATTTTTTCATAAGTACTAGGACAGTTCAAAGCTCAAAATAGAACCTTATGGTATTATTAATGTTCAATATTGCACTCGTTAACCTGGCTCTCAGTTTATGTACTGTTCATTCGATCAATTTGTACTTACTACTTGATTTTATTTTAAGTACAATAGAATCATAATAATGGTTATAACAGTTTTGATATACAGTTATAATTTTATATAATAATTTAACCTTTAATTAGTAAATTAATAAAATAATAACATTATTATAACAAATATAACAATGGTCTTTGATGATTTTTGTAGTAATACAAAAATAACTTTGTTATTTTTGTTATAGGCATTTTATTTTTAATAAACATATTTACACAATTGTTATTTCTATTTTACATGATTACTCATTAAAAAATTTTGTATAATTTAAACAAAGGAAAAAGCATTAACGGATATAATTTCTTATCATATTCTGCCAGAAACGAGGCCGTTCTCCACCGATAACATTTAATGCGTTGTTTAAATGTGGAGTCGTTAATTAATGGTGTATAGTTATTTGTTAAAATGATAAAGGGTGGACCTTGTACAGTTTGATCGCCTTTAAACTTAACTTGAACTCTGCACGTATCCCCACCCAATCATTCTTTTAATTTTTCTATTTCGGACGATTCATAATTAGGTTCGTTCCACAATACGACGCGTTTGTCCGCTACTTCCATAAAACCGAAAGTATTATATCTATTTAACTTGCTAATGACCCCGTAATTTCAAAAATAAGAACACACTGCATCGAAAAAAAAATTTTTTCCGGCCGACGTCGGTGATAATATTAATATAGTGTTGAGTTTTGGAATTTTTTTATTCAAAATATTGCATAGTCTCGGTAAAAATTTGGTGACACTATTGGAATCGTCTGAAAACTGAAATATTTACAAACTATTCACAATTATTAACGAATATTCTACCGAATAATAGGCGTTGTGAATACTGTACTGATAGGCATTGATATAAGGTGTACACAAAGGATTAGAGTAAAATAACTCATAGTCCTCCATAGACCAATGATTTAAAATGCCACACCATTTATCAATCGCGTTTGTAGCTAATATGATCTGAGGGTGGAGATCGTTGAAAAGTTCATTGTTAAAATATTCAGGCGTTCTAAATATACAGTGGGGAGGTGAAGTCGTGTGAGAACGGAGCAACTCGTTAGAGGCAGACCTAATGTTTTCCTTTGTTAATCTCTTCTTCTTTTCGGTACGCATTTGAAGTCTTCCCCGCTCGACTTGATCTAACGCAACGTCACTTTCGTCAATTTTCTCAAATAATTGTGGTCCTCGGAGTTCTGGAGGCTCGTGCCCTTCAAATGAAGAATTGTATGCTTCCAGAGTTCCTTCTTTTCCACATTCCTGATTTCTTGACAACGGTACAGCCTCAGTTCGTAACAGAGTTCGAGCGGGTCTACCTCCAACGACAAGGAGGACGACAGTCCTTCCTTGTCCACTAAAATATCCCTATACAAAAATTATATGATTAGTTTAGTAAAATGTACGGTTAAATTTTTCTACTTACCAGGATTACCTTCCAATCGCTTTCCGTGAGATCAGCGACTCGGCTTCGTCGTCGGAGTTCTCGTCGGAGAAAGGCGCTGGAGAACGCTGACGCTTTCCACCACGCACACCTACAAGCTCCGTTTGTATTAGGACAAGTGTGCGTGACATGGATGTGGTCGTCGTGTGTTGAAACGACGATGGTTGAATCTTGTCGCCCGTGTTGAGTTCTTCCGTCTGAAGAACTCGTACGAGCTGCCCGACTTGAATATTCCGCCAGTTTTTGGTCAAACGTTTCCATGCCTTTCCCAACAACGAACTCATGTTCGGACCAAACTGCTCGGTACAATTTTTCAACTCTATTGTTTTGATGTCTTCCGGAACTGTATCTGCTGTCCACACTTTGGTCGACAGAAGACTCCAATCTTCTACTAGTAAGCAGAGAAGAAGTACATAAACCACACTCGAAATACGATTTAGCCATCATGACTAAATCGTACGGCAGTTCCCTTTGAATCACGCTTAACGCTTCGCCCCGAGTGCATTGTAATACTTTTTCTCTTAATGTTACTAGCTCTTTGATATTGATTTTTGATCGGCATTAAGTTAATGAATTCATTATAAAATTGTTCTTGATTTTGTTTTAAACATTGCAATTCCTCAGTTAATTTTTTAATATTATAATTTTCATTATTTTGAGTTATTTGATTAATTTTTTCATTTATTATAGACTGTTTTATTTCAGATGGGCTCATAATTGTTTCTCCAGTGATCATAAATTCAACCATTTCATACTTTTGAATATTTCTTTTTAACTCTTCTAAATTGCAATCATCAAGAATACTAACATATCTAGCAATACTTGGTTTAAAATCTTTCATTACATTTCTTACTAATTTAGTCTCCAACATATTACTATTAATTCTCTTACATAAAGCTTCCATATCATTAATATAAGCAACCATTTGACCATCATCTAACTGTTTTATTTTTCCTAAAAAAATACGTAACATATTATATTGAGTAATAGGCTCAAATTTTTCTCTAAATTTCTTTTCTAAATCATTCCAGAGTAATTTATTTGATTTAATATTATCATAAAAGGTAAGAGCTGCACCTTGCAAAAATGCGACTAAATATTGCGGTTTATCAACATCTGACCAATTATTAATTAGTGCTGCTCTATTAAATGTTTTTAAAAACAAGTCTACACGTTTGTTTATACCTCCCAAAAAAGTAGTTGGTTTAAAAAATAAATTTTTATTCATGTTATAATAATTAATTACTTTAGATGAAACTTGGTCACTATTGTTTTTATGATTTAAATTTTTTAAAGAAAAATGCCAAAATAATCTTATTTTTAAGTCTGATACTGTACCAACAGTTACTAATTTCCTATTTTCAAGTTCTTTAATTAACTCAAGTTTTTTTAGTGAATTTATGCACTCTAAAGTTTTTTTATATTATTCTGGGATTCCTTCTATTACAATCTTTTCTATTTCCTCTGACATTTGGTCAATTTAAAAAAAAAAATTTTATCTATATTCACTTTTTGTTTTCCTTTAAACTCGGGTATTTTCCTCTGATTTTATTTCACTATATAATTGAAATATATATATTTTACTCGAATAATTTTAATTCACTTTTTTAGTAGTGACTTTTAATCTCAATTAACTTTAATTCCCTTTTTTAGTTCAAGTGCTTTTTATTTTCAATTTTTATTTAATAAATTCTTTTAATTTAATATACTATTAATTAAATTTAATTCAAGTATATCTTTTATTCTCGATTTTTAAAATTCAATTCTCAATAAAATTTACTTTTTATTCAAGTATGTATTTTATTCTCAATTTTTAAATTCCTTCAAAGTTCTTCAGAACATTATTTTTATTTTTAAATTAATATTAAACACTTTTTCTTTATATCAATAAAATTATCTTTTTATTTTTGGTATATCAAAGTTATAAAATTTTTATAATGCTTTGATTTTTCTGAGTAATTTTTTTTAGAAAACTCTTAGTAAAATTTAACTAAGCTCGTTGTTGGGCGCCACTTTGTAGTAATACAAAAATAACAAAGGGGGTTAGGGTATTTTTGATCAATGTTGGATATTTGGGGATTTGGTCAATTCAGGAGCAACGAAGTTCTATCAAGGTTGTAGAGTCCGAGGGTTTAGAACAGTAAAGACAAGTATGTGGCGGTCGAATATTCTAGAATGTCCGGCCGCCGCCGCCTCTAGAAGATTCGTCGCTCTACATAAGCGTGTGGCGGTCGAATGTCTAGAGAGTTCCGACGCCGCCTCTAGAAGATTCCTCTGACTATTTAAGGGCAAGATCGTCGCTCCAGTCAGTCAGTCGATCAGTCAATCACTTACGCATTCTGTCTTACACGCGCTTCGTTTCTCGCTGTTATTTATTAGTTCGTTGTAATACAGTTCGTCTCTCGCTGTTATTTGTTATTTGTTAGTTCGTTGTAATATAGTATAGTTGTTATTAAATCGTAAAAGTGTTTATTACTTCTATATATTACACCTCGCTACAAGTATATATAAAAAGATATGTATTAAGTTCCTCTCATAGAGGTATTAAACACTGAGCTATTCTTGTAGTGGCCGGGGTCTTGGCCTCCTATCTCACACCCAGTCGAAACGTGATATTAACTGGTATGTGCTTTAATGGGAATACTGAGGCGTTCATGGAGTGGTGGAGACCTCCTCTCAGACACCCAGTCGAAGTATATGACCAAGAACTAACAGTTATTAATAATTAAATTAAATGATGTTTAAAAGAATCTATTGCTTTACCATTCTTTACTCAGATTATTAATTCTAAATAATTGGGTTAATATGAATTTACTTACCTTTTTAGATATCTTACGTTCAGATTTATACTGTTCCTTTTAAATAAATAAAGTATTGACGCAAAATAATTGTATTCGATATCGTCTTAAAATGTACCGACGACAACACAGGGTTTGATCAAAATAAATCAGATAGAAAAATTCTGAATNCGCGACTAGTTTGATCAAAATAAATCAGATAGAAAAATTCTGAATTCTTTATTAAATTCAGATCTTCAAAAAGAAGAGAGAGAGACGCTCACTGGCACCCTCGCTCACTGATGTGCAAGCAGAACTAAGACTTTTTATATTATTTTTAATTACCTCCTTCATGGGTTGTTGTCGTCAACGCTTTTAGTGATTTTCAATTTATTGTATTAAATTGAACATAAAATGATAGTTATTTTAAGATAAGATGTATAGTAAACAATATTCAATTTAACATGTTTATACATTTATAATAGCTTTATACATGTACAAAAGTGTATATGTTATGACAGATAAATAAATTATTTGTTTGTATACTAGTAATATAATATACAGATTATACCTTTTTAATTGACAAATGTAAGATGCGCAACGCAAAGCATTAGGCATATTACGACATCCGTCCTAATTATTTAAGTATTGTGTCCTCACAACTATAGTTTAACATAGGCAAAAAAATTATTAAATATAATAAGAATAATTGTATAATAAAAGTTGATTAATAAATTTAGTATTTACGATATATAATGATTATTATGTGAATATTTAATACTAGTAGAAAATGTAAATAGTTAAAAGTTAATAACATGTGCAATTGCATTTGAATGATAGATTAAAAAAAAATATTATAGATTAAAAAAAAAATAATAGTATGATAGTGTATAAGTATGTATAGTGGCAAAAAATAAGACAATATATAATTTTTGTTTACATTTTTTACATTTATGCAAAAATAATAGCGATAATACTAATTAAAAAAAAAACTGTACTGGACAGAGGGGTTGCAGCATAGTGGTGACGTGCATAGTTGGATCAACTATAATGATATCTAACTATAATGACAGTAATTAAAATCACTATAAAATAAAAACGCTTCGATGCAAATTTTTAGATAGTGTTTAATTTTAAAAAATTGATGGATTATTCCAAAAGCTACATGATCTGTTTGTTCCTTATTAATATCCTGATTAAGATAAAGTATGTCGAATGAAAAAGGGATTATTAAAAAATATTATCTCTCATAAAAAATTTATGTTGATCCATACACTTTTCAATAAGTTATACCATTATAAAGTTAAAAATGTAAAAAATAAAATCGAGAATTTTCACACAAAAATAACATTCGGTAGCCATTTTCATCGTGAAGACAAAATAAAGTCCGAAATTATTTTTTCCATTATAAAGTACATTACATTAGCTTTAATTTAAGATATATATAAAAGTGTCAGACTTTTCGGAACATTTTCATAAGTAAAGTTGAAAAAATTAATTTTTTGTGAAATAGTTGTCATTTTAAATCCCCTCTGTGGGCAGATAAAGGGTCAGATTTATATAAAAAATGAAAGGTAACGATATCATGCATCTATATAAAAAAAATTATATTGATTTGGTTATTTTTAAAAAAGTTAATAATCATAGTAAAATAATACCTTCTCAGCTTCGCATCGAAGCTAAAAGGTATAAACCTTTTGCAATTAAATTTCAGTTTTAATTAAAAGTTAGATAGTGCAAAATAATAATTTTAATATTAAACACAATATATTTTTTTTATTAATACATGTTAAAAAGTTTAATCGATTATTATACGCAATCTTATTAATTATTTGGTTTAAATTCTCGATCTTCTCTATCTCTTTTGAGTGGTGGTTTGGAATAACTTACTTTCTTTACTCTTTTTTCGAAAGGTGGCTTTATGTACCTATAATGAAACATTTTCCTTTATTAATGAACTATCATTATTTGTAATTTAATTAAAAATTATTATTATTTTTAAAATTAAAACACTAGTACAGCAGTTAATGAAGTAAAATAAAAATATAAGTATGTAAGTATGTATAAAAATAATGCAAATATATTTATAAGAAATTATCGATGGTGTAGCATATGAAAAAAGTAGGTGTAATTTTTTTTTGAAAATCAGTTAAGTCCAATATAAAACTTATAAAAAAACCATAAAAGAAATAATTTTATTATGGATAAGTCTGTTGAATTGAGGTTAATAGGTATGAAAGCACTAAAGTAGAAGATAGCCCTAACTGTTGTGTATGCTTCAAAAACTCTCTGTTAAAAATATACCTGTAACTTCTAGCACCTGATTACGTAATGTCATCCTGACTAAGTAAGCTGAGGCTTTCATCAAATTAACAATCTGAGGAGCAGTTAAAAAGCTTAACATCGATGTATAACGGCTGATTTTTGTTGTTGTCCCCTTCCATATTTTATTAGAGTTACAAAAGTTTAAGCCCTAACTTAAGTTTGCACAAAAACAAAAGTTATTTAACATAAAGCATTTAAAAAATGAATGGTAAAATAGCCATACTTAATTTTAAATCTGCGTATCGATTCAAAGAAATTACTTTTTTTTATGTTTTCCTAAAAAATTGACAAAATGTAATTTGTATCATAAAACCTTACCCGTTTGCTGTAGAATAGATTAGTTGTGTAAAGCCCAAATTATAAAAGTCGTTTTGAATTGTTATTTCATATAACGTTTTTAAATTGTTAAAAATATTTTCAACGCGGTCAGTAGCAGGGTTTTTGTCATATTGTACACCATACAGCGTAAGTAAAGTAGCTAGAACAGAGTTGTTATTAAAACAACACCATTTTTCATTTATCATGTCAAGTTCTATTATTTTGTTTTTTATTGTGTTACAAAAGATTTGAAAAGTTTCCATATTCTTAAGAGAAACATATACTGTATCATATTTATTAATTGATATTGTTGATGATTGTTGATTTATTATCCGAAATTGTTTATCAATACTATTTAATTCTAATCCATAATCTACAGTGAGTTTTTCATTAATATTACTTAAGAATTCAGTAGCACGCGAAAATTTTGAAAGCATGTCTTTTGAATTCTCTAATGTTTTCTGTAAAGATAGAGAGCATTTAATAAATACTTCATATCGTTCGTCTTTTTTGTAATTGTAACATTTTTGAATAAAACGATCCAAAATAATATTGAATACTTTCAAAATTTCAGTGTACTTAAGATTGATTAAGTTGTTTATCAATGGTATTTTTTCAGAAAAATTGCTTTTATCCACTGCTTTTGTTAAAATTTCATTAAAAGAAACTTTATGTGAATTTTCACCGATCTTGATTTTACACGCTTCCTCTAAATCCCATCCATCTTGTATACGAATATGATTGAATACATCGATAACATATTTTAAATATAAATCTGATTTTGGGACACTGTAAACCATCAAACCTTGATTTATAATCCAAAAACTATAAAAATTGAAAATAAATAATCGGAATAACATTTTTACAAGAAAATTAATCAAAAAATTGTAATGAAAATTTTATTTTAATAAACTTATAAAATAACTTTATTAGAAGTAGTATAACAGTACTAAATAATAGTAATCGTTAATGAAAATTTTTATTTAATACACACAAACAATTTTTCAAGAAAAACACTTGGTTTTCATTATTGAATAGCAATAATTATTTATTTCAGGACATTTATAGATATTTATTGTTTGAGAAATTTCAAAAATAAAATGTACAGTTTTAAGGTATTCAGCTGAATTATTCAAATCGATTAAAATTATGAAATATTAATTTAACTTGATCTAAATACTTTGATTTTGAAAAATGTACTAAATATATCAATTTGGTCCATAATATAACGTGTTGGTTCTTTAATATAATAAACATCTTAAAAAAAAGAAGAAAAAACCCAGCACAGGGGGGTCGCAGCCTAGTGGTAACGTGGCATAGTTGGTTCAAGTATAATGATATCTGACAGTAATTAAAATCACTATAAAAAAAAACGCTTCGATGCAAATCTTTAGATAGTGTTTAATTTTAAAAAATTGGTGGATTATTCCAAATGCTACATGATCTGTTAGTTCCTTATTAATAACCTGATTATATAAAGTATGTCGAATGAAAAAGGGATTATTAAAAATATTATTTCCCATAAACAAATTGTTTTGAATAATAACAATTTTATTGAATATTAACTTCCAGGGTCAAAAAAAAAAAAAAATGACATGCTTGATGCAATTCATTTTCATGATGTATTTAACAAAAGAATGTTTGTAGTTTTCAAAAGACCAATAATATTTATTTAAAGAATTATAAAATATACTTTTAGAATATAAAATGTTTCTTCTAAAATTAAGAAAAATTTTTGGAATATTTTTCATATAAGAACTTAAGTTATAATTGTATAGTATAAGTTTACTTAATAAAAATGAAATCGTTTTATTAAATATATTTTGCAAATTTTAATTTTAAAATCTTGAGTTATTTTCATAGTATTACGAATGTAATAAAAATAGGTCGAATCTAATTTAAAACGACTTGATGGTTTCACATATACCTGTAAAAACTTACAATTGAATTGAATAAGGTTAAAATGTTGAAAATCTTCAATGACCTTTAATAAATTTATTTTACTTTGGATTAACATATGATTTTTTTTATTTTTCTTATTTGAATTTTTGTCTGAAATGACTAAAGATTTTGAATAATGTTTTTTGATATTAATTAATACTGGTGCTATAAAATTAAAATTATCTATTTGTTTGTTTAACTCTACTTTCTGTGTTAAACTATTAGATTTATTTAAATTTGGAAAAATAAAATTCTCAATTACATTTTTGATTATGTATTCGATATCGTCTTAAAATGTACCGACGACAACACAGGGTTTGATCAAAATAAATCAGATAGAAGAATTCTGAATTCTTTATTAAATTCAGATCTTCCAAAAGAAGAGAGAGAGACGCTCACTGGCACCCTCGCTCACTGATGTGCAAGCAGAACTAAGACTTTTTATATTATTTTTAATTACCTCCTTCATGGGTTGTTGTCGTCAACGCTTTTAGTGATTTTCAATTTATTGTATTAAATTGAACATAAAATGATAGTTATTTTAAGATAAGATGTATAGTAAACAATAATAAATTTAACATGTATGTATATTTATAATAGCTAGTGTACAAAAGTGTATATGTTATGACAGATAAATTAATTATTTGTTTGTATACTAGTAATATAATATACAGATTATACATTTTTAATTGACAAATGTAAGATGCGCAACGCAAAGCATTAGGCATATTACGACACTTAATTGAGACTAGCGTGAATTCATGTAGTGAGCAAGTGGCGCAATAACTAGACGTGCCGATAACCATTGACCAACAATTATAATAATTGTGATTTAATTTAGTTGTAATTTGTAATTCCTGCAAATTATTGACAAATACTACCATTTTTATAAATGCTCTATTTGAAACATTGCCATTTTCTTAGCAACAAGAAAATTGACAAGATTTTTGGCTCTCTTGTCTCTTTCCTGTTAATAATTATTTAAAATCAAATTTTAATTATTTAAAATCAAAATATGTTTAAATCAAAAGTAAGTAATTAAATTATTTTTTAACGTTTAGTAATATATTGAATTTGTAGGTAATTTTAGAATTAGCTTATATAAAAATAAAATAAATTTTAGTGGAATATGCTGTATGATAAAATTATTTAAAGAACCTTAAAGAGACATTGTCCAACACAATATTCTTGACATTCTTTAATTTAGTTATTACTTTTATAATATTAACTAATAATATTACTGAACAATATTTACAACAAAGAAATGCTTTATTGTATTTGAAGGTTTGATGAAACAATAATTAAGTGGTCTTAAATAATAAATGTATCACAAAGTGAGACATCAATAATACATGTGTTGTATATTCATATCATTTCTTTAGAATCTTGGGATTATGATCATGGTTGTGCTACTTAATCAATTAAAACAATTAAAGATTTCAAATTATTTTTCTAATAAAAAAGGATAGGGTGGGTATGAATGGAAATAAAACTAAGTTTTTATACTTTGAACAAATGAAACATAAAATATAAGGATTTTTAGGAATCGCAACAAATTTAAATGTATAATAAAATTCACATGACACATTTGGGTTTTATGGTAACCTACTATAAACTTTGAGTTATGATTTTTTTAAATAAACCTAATCCTAGGGCACACTTAAATATGAGAAGTAGATTTAATTAATATTATCTTGTTAACTTTAAAGTTTATAAAATAAAACTTGTTCACAATTTTTTCTTAGTTTATAGCTAAAAGAAATCAATTTATTATTTGGTTTTTTATAATATCTATGTTGCAAAAAAAATAATTATGTTTAATCTTAAATGGTATAAAATGAGATTGCTTCTTATAGCATACATCAATTTAATACACCATGTTAAATATTAAATCATTAATATATATTTATAGTGTATGGTAATTTTATTTAATAGTTAATAACTAATATTTATTATTTATAAAATAAATCTTTGATTTCAATTATTGATCTATATGACTAGATAATCCGCACAAAAAATATCTTACAACACAGAGTATTTATGTGCCTGATTTAAAATTTAAATCAAATTTTTCTCACTATTACAAGGTTATTTTCAAAAAATTATTTACAATTACCATTATATATTTTTATTAAGAAGCATACTCACTGATGGTAGCTCATTATACGCTATTATATTAGCAAAAGTTAAAAAAAGTAGCGAAAATAGAATATTTTTTGGTCCCTAATTCAAAAATTATTATTAATATTATTACTTTTATTAATTACACTAGTTTTAGTTTTAGTTATTATCGAGATGGACATGCATTCAGACCTGTTGGTTCATTGTGTGCACCTCATACCGAATTGTCTTCATTCAGTTTACCCACCTAAGTGTTATCAACGAAGTGTTAATACATTACCAACCATAAAGTCACCTCTATAGATGACCAAAGAGTCCTGTCTTTCTAGCAAAATGAAGTATCTCTCTGAATTTTTAGGTTTTTAATATCTTCTTTTTCAGGAAAAGGTTTACTCAAGTAGTTTGATCTTAGTGTGGACAAGGCTTCACATTCGCACATAATGTGAAATGAGTCTTCCTCTTCTACTTCACACTTTCTGCACAATGGTGATTCTAATATCTCCATTGCGTTAAGATGTTTAAGCAGGTGACCAGGCACGTAGTCAGAAAATATTTATTGGAGGGGCCAACAATTTTAGGCCCTCGTATCATTTTCCATAATTTGTTTCCCATGAGAAGCTTGTAGGGGGGGGGCTCCCTCCACTCATCCTTAGACAGTATCCCTTCTATGAATCTTACAAATTCAAAATTTGTGTTTTTTTTTTAAAAATTGGTGGATTAATCCAAAAGTTACATGATCTGCTATTTCCTTATTAATATCCTGATTAAGATAAAGAATGAAAAAGGGATTATTAAAAAATATTATTTCTCATAAAAAAATTGTGCTGATCCATACATTTTTCAAAAAGTTATAGCATTATAAAGTTAAAAATGTAAAATACAAAATCGAGAATTTTTACACAAAAATAGCATTTGGTAGCCATTTGTAAAAACAAAATAAAGTCCGAAATTTTTTTAAATAAAATAGTGCATTACATTAGCTTTAATTTAAGATATAGATAAAAGTGTCAGACTTTTCGGAACATTTTAAAAATTTAAAAGGAAAAAGTTAATTTTTTGTGAAAAAGTTGTCATTTTAATTCCCCCCCGTGGGCAAGTAAAGGGTCATATTTATAAAACAAATGAAAAGTAACGATATCAAGCATCTATATAAAAAAGTTATGGAAATTTTAAGTAAAAAAAATTTTAAAAATTTCGAAAATTAGCGATTTTTAAATTTTTAATTTTTTGGGTGGTTTCCCCCTTTTACGGGGAACGAGGAAAATTTTTTCAATTTTTGAGGGTCATGTCTTCGAATAGATACGATTTGTGATCTTTTGATGTATCATTGAAAGAAATCGGTTCGGTGAGACTGAGTGGTAACAGACAAAAAAAACACATCATAGTAAAACCAATACCTTCTCAGCTTTGCATCGAAGCTAATAAAATAATGATGTGAACATAAGCTGATTTAATTTTTCAACTTTTAAGCTATTAAGAAAAAATAATTTATTCCTAAATACTAATAACAAATAAGTTATAAAAAAATTTTAAATAAATATAAATTATAAACAACAAGTTTTGTGAAAGATTATAGTAAAAAAAATTGAATATGTTACCACAACTTTTAGCTCAATTATAAGTTGAAAATTTCACCTTGAAATTGACATCATTAAATAAAAAATTTTATGAGAATTAAAACTATGTTATTTTTAAGACTAATATGCAGTCTGGAAATTTTATAATTACTATTTACAGTATATTTATCAGAAAAACTCATTATTTATTTGCATTTTTATCGTAATAGAACACTTAAATAGAAATTATATTAATCATTTCTCAGTAACTTTTGGTACTTAAAAAGATTCTACAATTGAAATAGCCAGAACTGAATTAATTTTAATGATTTACTTTAACTAAAAATAAAAAAAGTTATCATTTTGAATCCTTCTTGTTGGCAGGTAAAAGGTTAGCTTTATAAAAAAAAAACTTAATGATAGGTAAAGACATGCATCAAAATAAAAAAAAATTATACTGATTTGATTATTTTTGATAAAGTTATAACAGTTAACAAAGTTATAAGTTTTATACACTTGACTACAAGGAACTTTCATCAGAAACAAAAATATACTGTTCTAAATCAATTTTTCGCGATGTTTTCAAATGTGCAATTAGACTTTTTCTATCACTTCTAAATTTAATATTATTAAAAAATAGTATTTTCATATAAAAAAAAATAATTAAGAACAAAAAAATTTGTTTTAAATTAATACTGATTTTGATTATTAATATGTTAAAAATAAGGAAAGTGACATATTTCACCAATTTTTTTAATCGTTTAAAGTTGATTTTTGTAAATATTTATAATAAAAAAAAATAATTTATTTTACCATAACTTTTAGCTTAATTGGCAAGTTTGAAATTGAAACCATCAAATAGAAAATTTTATGAGAATTAAAAAAATTGTATCGTTAAGATTCATATACAGTCAGAAAGTTTTATAATTACTATTTATTGTAAATTTATCAGAAAAGCTCAAATTTTTTTTGCATTTTTATCGTAATAGATAACTTAAATAGAAGTAATAGTAATAATTTCCTAGGAACTTTTGTTGTTTGAAAAGATTCTACAATTGAAATATTCAGAACTTTAATATAAATTAATATTAATGATTTACTTTAACTAAATTAACCAATCAAAACAAAGTTGTTAAAAAGATTACAACATGTTACCAAAAAATTTTGAATATTATAGCCTAGTAGTAGCACACACAAATAGAGTAAAAAAATTATTAAATTAAAAAGTAAAATGATTTAATTTTGTAGTTGAAACCTATCATATTAAATTATCATATCAAACTTGATTCGTTAATAAATACTTTGAAAACATTAGAAATGAATGATGAGGGTAATATCTTCAACTAATTGTAATCATTTGACGTATCGTTAAAAAAAGTAGATCAAGTTTAGAGCCGAGAAAATAAATGATAGTTACAAAAAAATACCTTCTCAGATTTCGAAGCTAGAATCAAAAATATAATAAAATAATTTTAATATGAATAAGAAATTTCTTCTCGCATGGGGCGACTAAAGTGATGGGATCCTTGATCTTTATTGAAGTTATTGAATCTAAATGAGATAAAAATCAAACGAGTTGAAAATTTATTCTAACTTAAAAAGAATTAAGAAAAAATGCAAAACATTTTAATGCCTTACGCGGGTTGGAACCATGTACCCCAAACGCATGAATCACAAGTTTAACCGACTCGACAACCGTACATCACTAACGTGGGCCGAAAAAATTGTCTATTTAAGCTAGTTCAAAATTATTTTTCTCGACTCTAAAAAGCAAAAAAATTTATATAAGTTTAACTTTCTATGCTATATCAATGTTTTATTTATATAATATTTATAAAAATCTGTACTCCCCTTGACAGGTATTTTAAAATAAAATACAAAACCCAGAATTTTAATACAAAAATAATATATTTTTGAATACGGTAGTCATTTTTACAATGAAGACAAATCCAGAGGTCAAATTTTTTTTTTTTAAATTAAAGTATATTATATAATCTTTAATTTAAGGTATATATAAAAGTGTCAGTATTTTCGGAACATTTTCAAAAGTTAAGTTGAAAAAGTTCTACTTTCTATACGCATTTTAATAGGTTTGCACCCCCTGTATATTGGGAAATGGCCTGATTTAAAAAAAAAGTATGTCGAATGAAAGAAGTATATATAAAGTATTTATAATTAAAGAATAAAGTTGATTCATGCATTTTTTAAAAAGTTATAGCAACATAATGTTAAAAAATGTAAAATATAATATCAAGAATTTTTTCACAAAAATAGCATATTTTTGCATACGGTAGTCATTTTCACCATGAAGACAAGNACATACGATAGTCATTTTTACCATGAAGACAAATCCAGAGGTCAAATTTTTTTTTTTCAAATTAAAGTATATTACATTAGCTTTAATTTAAGATATATATAAAAGTGTTAGTATTTCCGGAACATTTTCAAAAGTTAAGTTCAAAGAGTTAATTTTTTGTAAAAAAGTTACCATTTTGAAACCTATCCTGTGGGCTGTTAAAGGGTCAAATGTTCACAAAAATATATAAAATGATAGGTAAATATCTAAGATATCTATAAAAAAAAAATATATTGATTCGGTCATTTTTAAAAAAGTTATGGCAATTTTAAGTAAAAAAAATTGAAAAAATATCGAAAATTAGCGATTTTTAAATTTGTAATTTTTTGGGNTTGAAAACAATATCGAAAGTTAGAGATTTTTAAATTTGTAATTTTTTGGGGGATTTCCCCCGATTACGGGGAACGATGGAATTTTTTTCAATTTTTGAGGGTAATATCTTCGACTAGATACGATTTGTGATCTTTTGACATATTGTTAATCAAAATCGGTCCAGCGAGCGCTGAGATTGAGCGTTCAGACACAAAAAAAAAAAAATAAATTAAAATAGAAAAAAAAAACACATCATAGCAAAATTAATACCTTCTCAGCTTTGCATCGAAGCTAAAAAACACAAGGTTTGTGCAGAAACTTGTGTTTCTTGAAGCCGTTTAAGATTACCAAGTAGCATAATTAAAACTCCAAAAAAATTATTAAGGCAACTTAATATGAACATTAGTAGATAATAAATGTATGGCAGCCATACCCCTCTGCCTTAAATACCCCCCCACCATAGTATGGTGAGGGGGCAAGGGGGAGGGGAATGGAGCAAACCCCTTGTATTCTAATCCGATGCAACCCAACGTACACTAGTCCGATGGAACCCAACTTACACTAGTCCGATGAAACTCAACTCACACTTTGCACATGTGCTGCCATCTGGCGGACGGCACCCGCCCTGAAACCCAACACACACACAATTCGATCGCGCGTCCACGTAATCGTGTTTTCAAAATAATAAAAAAAAAAATTGATCTCTTTACAACACTGTTCTATTAATCGTTGATTATNTTTTTGAATACAATAAAAAAAAAAATTGATCTCTTTACAACACTGTTCTATTAATCGTTGATTATAAGATGATGGTGGGGGAGGGGGGTCTCATCTTGAGACGCCTAATGTTGATTGGGTTTTTATATTGCCGAAAGAGAGAGAATGTACGCTGACGGTTATACACTATTCACACACACACACTCTCTCCAAACACAGACACACAATTATGTGTGTAAAATNCCACACACTCACACAATTATGTGTGTAAAATATACTTATAAGCAATAATGTGTAACGAAATTAATGACCAATTGTAAATACCCTTTATATCAATTTATTGATGGGAGGTTATGAAAAAATTTAAAAACATTTGTCATAAAAACTACAGATTTATTTACACACATTTTAACTAAATATATGTTATTTAAACACGCCATTTAAATAGCTGTGCATCGCAATAGCGACATTCTAATAGCCGTGGATAATTTAAAATTAAATAGTACTTGCAATTTGCGTTTATGCATATATTATCTCGGATCGGTTTAATAATAGATGTATCACTTGCAGCTTCATTTACACAAGCACATATATTATAATCATATTCATTATTATTACACATAACTAAATTTAAATTAAAACATTTTTTTTTTTTTGCTTATTATTATATAATGTACTAGGTTGACGGGTGGTGTAAACGGCCAGGGGGGATACGTTGAAAGGTAAATGTTTCTCGTTCCTAGATATCATTTCGTTATACCATGGTACAAGTTACCTTGGTATATGCATAGTATACCTAGGTAGATGGAACATCATATAGTATATCTTGATATATTACAGAAAATTGCATAATTTTAGAATTATATGAAAATATTTGAATACAGAAAAGTGAAAGGTACAATCGAGCGGCGACGGTGGCTATTAATCCAACGAAACCCAACTATAGCTATGTAATGTGTAGGCCATAGAGAGTCGCTCTTCCTTGAATAACGTATGTATTAAAACAATAGATCAGCGGTTTATCCCTACATAGAAGTGGAGGAAATGTGTCATCATACTCTTCATTATTATGATATTAAACTAAATACATAAATATTTTACTATTCCATAAGTAATCAGTTATTTTGTAATTAAAGTGAAAATATTTATACCTTCGAAGTTACCATAATATTTTATCAAATTTTTTTTTTTTTTTGATTATTAAGTCAAACTACCGCGTTTGTTAATGGTCAAATTTTGTTATTGTGTAAACGTTATTGTATAAAACATATGTATACACACATAATCTATTATGTATACAAATATTTAGAAATCGCGAGTTTAAAACTAATTATTATGATATTAAAGTGAAATTACTTAAGCGGTGAAGGAAAGGGTTAGTATACGGGGATATGTGTCCTGTAATTTGCTGACCCCTATATGAAAATATGCGATTTTTCCGCATAAATGAGCGTGAAATCGATGATAAATTTCATCAAGAACCATCAGCTCTAAGAAGAATACTCTATGAACAATATGGTTGCCGAATCTGTAAGAAAACAGCGCTACATTTATATCGCACCAACATCGCCAGCCGAGATGATTGACTCTAGCAGTTACACTATTGCGTTCAGCGATAGAAAATTTTTGCAAGTGGGCCTGAATCCAAAAGAGGACTTCAATGTTACGGTATGCATTATTACTTCTTCACGATATCTTAGTATTTCAGCAGAATATTTAAATATTATTTACGGCATGATGGATGTAATAACATCATTTCTACAATCACCGCCGGTAAAAGTAAGGAACATTGTGTTATATCAAAATGTCGATTTTAATATAACCAAAGTATTGTACCGTGATACCATGCATTTAGTATTAGAATCCAGGATGGTCGATGGGTGTCGAGTGTTATTGAATAACGAAAACATTAATAGACTTATGGACTTACAGTGCACTATTATTAGTGCAATATCAAGAAAAATAAAAACACGTTTACTATTACGTCATCAAATAGACCGCATCATACAATACGCCGACGGTAAATGGTCGGGCCCTAAAATTCAACAATCAAACAATGATGAAATGGTTAATTTTATAAGAAGTTTGAATGACGAAGAAATATGCGATACTATTCCTAAAGGTGACAGTAATTACATAAGCGAGCTGAAGAATTTAGCATACAATGAAATAGTCGAACGATGGGTCAAGTCGTGGTCCGAAGACATGCTTCAAATTAACGTGAGTTTAATGAACGTAGATTGTCATAACCTTTATTGTTATTAAATTTATAATTATGTTAATTAGGTTAAACAACAAGGTATTTGTATGATGTATTTGTACCGCACATACTTGTACAGTATTCAATATCACACGTAAAAATTGTTAAATTTCATGATGTAAAATAGAATATATATATATGAAAAAACTATGTTTAAAGATCTATACCTGTTCCTCCTGTACTTTATCCTGTCACATGCATAACACTAGAAGCAATTGCTAATTATGTTAGCCTTAATGTATATTATTATTAATATTATATACAAAATATGAAAGAAAAAATAATAAACTTACAACAAAACAAACTTATTTTTTACAAATTATAAATACCACTCTGAATATTCATCTACAGTCTCGCCATCCAAATTAAAATTAAGATAGGTAATTGGGGTGCGATAGTATGTCTAATATGAATCGTCAAATGAAAACCAGTTTCAATGCTAATGCTAACATTCATCTTGTTTACGTGATACAATTAAGTTGTACATGCAAACAAGATCTATCATACGACGATATTTAAATCTACTCCTCAACTTTTGACTGCTACCTGTAAATAAGCTAAGTCATTCTGTACAAAAAAAAATAATCTATGTAAACATAATTTTCAACCTTTATAAAGTAAATTAGTTTCGTCCATTAACTATTAATTGTAATTTTATCATCAAATTATTACCAATATTTTTTTTTACCTTCAAACCAACGTTTATGCCCATAATCAGACTTTACGGTGAATAGCTTTTCATAAAATTCTCGTAAATAAATCTCCAGATCGATCGATGAGCGTTCAATTAAATCGTTAGTAATTGCCTCATATTTTTCATACTCTGCATTATTAACGAAATATTCGACCACCGCATCGGCCCAAATGTTGATATATTTTCCGGTATGGTAGACATCTCTCAATAATTCCCTATGTCGATAGCATTTATTGATTTCACAATCACAATATTTAAAATTGTAATCTCCTATTTTTACATATAAAATATATGTTAACGATAAATGAAGAATACTACTATCAATTTATTTTACTACTCACTTGTGGTATTGAAATCCATAATACATTTCTTGTACAAATTTTCCATCGTATTCATTTTATTTTTTGTTTATGATTGAATACGCTGGTTAGTTGAATAAATGATAGTTTGTATGCGTACTTGTTCAGCATAGAGCGTTAAAAGTAAATAAAAAATCATACATTTCGAGGTGTTGAGATAGGGTGTTTATATTAAAAACTATACTTAATGATCTATACCTGTTCATAGCTAATACTTCACCCTCTCACATGTATAACGTTATATACAATGATCTATGTCACATTCATTATTCAGTAATTATATATGAATTTTTAGGCAAATAAACAACAAACACATCATAGTAACATTAATACTTTCTATGAGTCTCGTCAAAGTTAAACATTTTTTTAAAACTTGATTACATTATTAATAGTAACAGGTAGTATAACAATATTTTCTTAATAGTCACATTATTTAAGAATTATTAATATATCAATTTCTTAACATAAACACTTTATAAAAATGTAAATTCCCATATATGATTTTCATGTATGAAAATACTTTGTCTTATATTACAAGACATATGCAATAGTATCAACAGAAAAAGAAGTGGAGATCTTAACTTGTATAAGTGAATAATTATACGTATAAACATGTGATTATAGACATATTAAAGTGAAAATACTCAAGTGGTATAGATAGTGTCTATTATTTGGAAATATATGTCCTGTGACAATTTATTTAGTTCTTATATCTAACGTAGAACGTAATCCATATATATATCTATCAGTCTATCTTTATCGATTACGATCGGGTTAGATCAAATCGATCAACAAAGATCAATATACTAAAGTATCTAATTGCATGTATAGTATATGTATTACACATGAATCATTTAAGTATGTTATACTTATGACATACCATAAGTACCTACAATAACAACACTTAGCTGTATGAAGTGATCAGTGTTGATTTATTAACAATTGTCTTACTATATGTATGCTTATATACATTATTGAGTATGAACAGTATATACCTTACGACGTGTGTCAAAAACGCTATTTACTAATAATATTTAATAATTGTTCTACTATACATCTATAATATACACCCGTGTTTAAATAGAATACAACTAGATATATTATGTTATTATGTAAACCAATTTTCATAATCCTGATAAATCTCGATTATAGGTATATATGCAATAGTTTGCTATTTCATATGAATTCAGTTATTAAGATATTAAAGTGAAAATATTTATACATCAGAAGTAACCATAATATTTATTCAAATTCTTTTGACTATTATTCAGTTTGTGTTTATTATTAGACATTAATGAGAAAGTTAATGTATAAAGTATATGCATACATATATTTGAAAATCATGAGTTTTAAATTAATTTTTATTATTATAATAAAGTGTAAATACTTAAGGACGAATAAAAGAGTTAGTATACAGGGATTTGTGATATGTGATTTAACGAATCCAAACCAAACCCAATAGTGTATTATACCAAAGATGATGACTTTAACATNTATCAAAAATATCGCCGTCCCCCCGCAACACGGGAGCCTCCTCGTCTCCCCGGAATGGGTCCCTTAGGCCCAGTCCACATTCCTTTCATCTATTCCATCTTCCTGCTTGTCCGGGTCTAGGCTATTACATGATGAGTAGCCTCGGCCTACCTCCATTTTCCTACGGCTTTCCACGGGGTAGAAGCCGCCCCATCCAAGGCGACCCGCATAGCTATGAGATATGCGGGCCGTTGGGGCNATACATATATTTGAAAATCATGAGTTTTAAATTAATTTTTATTATTATAATAAAGTGTAAATACTTAAGGACGAATAAAAGAGTTAGTATACAGGGATTTGTGATATGTCATTTAACGAATCAAAACCAAACCCAATAGTGTATTATACCAAAGATGCTGACTTTAACATATCTGAAGCGCTGTTTCGTAATAATAACCATTTAGTGTGTTGGAATCCAGAACGGTAGATAAGTGCGGAGTCTTATTAAATATAGAAAATGTTAAAAAAACTACATGAATTGGAATGTACTATTAACAATGCTATAGTAAGAAAATTAAAAGTCCATTATCAATTAATGCATCAAATAGACTGTATTACTATCTAAGCTTACGGTCATTATAAATTAGAGTACGTATACCATAATTATTATTGTAATAATA